CCTTGGTCAACCCGACTAGCCAGCCAGGTCCGGTCCGGTTTTCAAAACACAGGTTTCCAGACTGCGAATGAAATGATTCAATTTAGGCTCTCTGGCGGGAAGAGAGGAAAAAGATAAATACACATTAATTATTAAAATTAATTCTGACTCGGTCTGCTGAGTCACATTGGGCCTACAGTAACGGCCCGTTAATGTATTAACTCAGCCCATTAGATCTTAATAACAATTTTGTAGGTCCAAAATTTCAAATGGTAAGATAATAACGTTTTTTAGTTAATTTCCGTTCAATGCTGTTTTATTAAAAAATATTGAAATATGAATGCTAATTTAAGAAACACAAGATTTACTGATTTAGCAACATGTGTGTTTGCTTTGATCGAATGGCTTCTTTGTTACTAAACTGGAGGATATGATTAGTTCCACTCAGTCACTTTTGTCAAACCAAAAAGAGCTAAAAACAGAGAGCAAGGCTTGTACAATCCATTGACTACGGCTTACAAGGAAGTTGATATAATATGACCGTTTTAACGAGTTTAGATTCAACTCATCGACCTTTCCTGCTCTTCTTCACTGTAGCACAATCCGGGCAGTACCATTTCCCCTTGGGTTGTTCTTTCAGACCGACACAGCCAAAATGGAACCACTCAATCTTGCACTGCAATGAGTTTTATATTCATCAGTCTCAAAGGGTGTCTCACATTGGGAAAAGAGACGTTAGTGTTAAGAAATTAAACCTCATTGTTATCACATGCAATCATCTCGCCATAGCTAACTTGGTTGCAGATGCAGTAAGTCGGTTCGTTTGGATCCACAGGCAGATCCAAATCCATCCCACTTGAACTCATCCCTGTTGACGCTGCTGCTGTTGAGGCTGCTGTAGCTAGCCTTGTCCTGCCACAACATTAAATGGTTAAGGGATCCAATCTCATATTTCACAAAGATATATTATATGTATGGTTTCATTGGACCTAAGATCGTGTTGTTGCTGAGGTTTAGGCAATGTAATAGATTGAGCAAGTATGCTATGATATTAAAGATAAGGCTAAAAGGCACCTACTTCTTACGCCCACCTCTTCCTCCTTCACCAGCCTTTCCAGCTTTTCCACTGCCCTCGATATTTGCAGCAGCACTTTCTTTCTCTGATACACAGTTTTATGTTTATTAGCATATAAGTTAAGAGAGAAAGCTCAAGCTTCAAAAAAATAAGAGCAAGCGGAAAAATTAACCTCGACGCATCTCCTCATCAGATTTTTTCATATACTGGTCAAGTTGCTGGACATGCATATCCACCTGAACCAATATATCATCTGAAAAGTAATGACTTTTAAGGACTATTGAACAGCAAACTTAAGCTACACAAATTCGAAATCAGACTGCAGAGGATGGCAAAATAAGGAATGAGATATTTCATAAGCATACCAGATCATATGCCTGCATAGCCAATGCGACTTTCTCATCAGCAATTCTGACGCTGTGTTTCTGTTCATCAAGTGCTTCCTCTGAGAAGTGTGTAAGAGAGGTATTGGGTGTGGCATTTCCAGTTCTGCCTCTTCTTATATCATCTATCTCTTTTTCACACCGTTGTTCATTTTGCCTTTGGTTTTCTACT